CCTCTAACTCTAGCACTCTCTATTCTGATTCTATTCTTAAAAAAACAAAAAAAAAACACTTGTCCCTTTTAGACTAGCACACTATTCATTTGCTGCTTGTTTTCTTAAAAAAAATAAATAAAAAAATGAACACTTGCTTTCTAATCTTTTTGTATTCTATCTGTTTTCTTTTCATTTATTATACAATTAACAAAAGCAAAAAGAACTCTAACACTAGCTTGCTCTATTCTTTTTCTATTCTATCTGTTTTCTTTTCATTATACAATTAACAAAAGCAAAAAGAACTCTAACACTAGCTTGCTCTATTCTTTTTCTATTCTATCTGTTTTCTTTTTATTTATTATATTATAAAAAAAAAACTTGCTACGTGTACTGCGTTAAGCTAACTAAGACTTGTTATAGCACTTGTATATCATTGCTCTTTTCTTGATTTTGATTGCTTCCATTGTCCTCATTTTTGGAATAAAGCGTCTGCTAAATGACTAACTGTAAATGTATGTGAGCCATGTATACCTGTGTGTGTGAGTGAGTGAGTGTGTGTGTGTACTCACTCCACGCTGGCGGCTGTGATGCTGTTCAGCACACTGGTGTTCAGCGCACACAGGTTCGTTCCTCCCAGAGCGTTCAGCTCGTTGCTGCCGAGAGTGTTTCCATTCACACTCAGATACTTACTGACCAGCAGCTGGACCTGAGAGAGACACACATCAGCTCACTGAAGAACCAGACACACTTCATGACACTCGGCTCTGCTGAAGCCCAAAGTATACTTCAGTTTTTATTTGTACACTAGCGTATGTACAGTGTGTGTGACGGGAATTACATTATGAGTACTGTACACACACACACACACAGTACCATCTCCGGGTCCCAGTCGCCCTTGCGTTGGTTCATCAGAGACGAGAGCGTGTCGATCTTCGTCACGTTCCACTTTCTGACATCATCGGGTGTGGCCACGTGGGAGGCGGAGCCTAAAACCTGCAGCACCTGGTCAGACAGTCCGCCCGGATACGCCTGAGGGGCGGGACACACATGCGTCTCTATAGCAGCAGCGTGATTGACAGCAGGTACAGCAGTGTTCAGGTGAGTGTTTTACCTGGTTGAGTTTGTCCAGAATGATCCGCTGGTAGCTCCTGTCGTAAACTCTATCGGTCACGGCCTCCAGGTTGTCCTTCAGTGTTTGGACGCTCAAGCAGGCGTTAAACTGCGGCACATCATACGCAAACGGAAACATGTCACTGTACACCTGAGCCTGCAGTGTTTGACCTGCAGTACATACTGTTTCTACAGGAGATGAGAGAAAAACACACGATGAGCCTTCAACCCTGACCAACACTGACTTCAAGCTTGACATTTGATCAGTTCATTCACTGGGAATCAAACCCATGACCTTGATGATTCATCACTGTTTGAGCTGCAGGAACACACTCATGTTGTAATGTACACTACTGTAACGTCTAAGGTCAGTAATTAACACTTTTATTCATCAAGGACGCATTAAATTGATCAAAAGTGACAGTAAAAACATTTATAATGTCACACAACATTTCTATTTCAAATAATTGCTGTTCTTTTGAACTTTCTGTTCATCTGTGAATCCTGAGAAATAAAATGTAACAGTTTCCACAAACATATTGTGCAGCACGACTGTTTTCAACATTGATAATAATCAGAAATGTTTCTTGAGCAGCAAATCAGCATATTAGAATGATTTCTGAAGATCATGTGACACTGAAGACTGGAGTAATGATGCTGAAAATACAGCTGTGCATCACAGAAATACATTACAGTTTAACAGAGATTCACACAGAAAACAGCTGTTTTAAACTGTAATAATATTTCACTGTTTTACTGTATTTTTGATCAAATAAATCATCCTTCATGAGCAAAAGAGACTTTACATAGTGGTTCTGTGGTGTTTCTGCAGTGATTCTCACCAGCGGATCTCTTGATTTTGACTCGTGAGATTTTGTTGACCTCATTCATCATGTTGAGGATCTTCGTCTCTGAAGCTTTATCATTCTTCCTCAGGTCACGAATGAAGGTCTTCAGAAACCTCTGCTTGTTTGCCTGACACACACACACACACACACACACAGTTATCAGTGAAACACACACACACAGCCCCGTGTTCCCGTCGCTGGAGCGGCTCCTGCGGTCGCACTTGTGTGAATTTGCTCCAGATGTTGCTGGTGAAGTACAGCGGCAGGAGGTCGGTC